CTCTTCTTCTACAACTCAAATCATACCTATTTCCCATACAAAGAGTTTTAGGTGGCATCCATAAGTCTGAAAAAGCCAGACTTTTTTATGATAAGGGGGTCTCTTAAAAATTCAAAAGAAACTTGTATTTGAACAAGAAGGTGCACATCTTGCAGTTCTCAGTCAAAAGTCTTTTGGAATTGTTAGGATTTTTTACTATTTAGGAACTTCAGCATTTGACCTATAGATAGCATTCATAAGAAAAACTTATGATAAAATCCCAGCTATAGGGAAATAATATAATGATCAAAAGCAAATAGCAAGTGGAAAGAGATTTTCCCTTTTCAACTATGCAATGCTCTTTTGTTGCCACTACACCAATTCTTTAATGCCATGGAAACTATCTGATAAATGTATTAGAAGCTCAACAAATTTCATAATATTGAGGTAGCAAAGCAATTGGTATTGTTGACAGAGAACTGCTCTGAGCACCTATTTTAAGGAGAAAAAATATCTAAAAATAAAAACCATACTTTGAGCTGTATTCAACGAAAGTATAGAATAGCTGCAGAGAACACGAAATTAAGCTACCCTAATTATATTGGATCATTGCAAAACATGGAAGGATGAGAGGGGAAAAAAAAAGCACACCTTGAAATTACAAAAATGAGATACAAATTACTTAAAATTTAACAGTCTTACTTTTGGATGGTTTTACTTTACCCAACTTCTGTATTTGTAATGAGGGCGAGGGGGGTAGGAACAACACTGTGAGTTACGTGAGAGTTTTCTGTCCCATTTCTCAAGATGCTAAACGTGTATTCATAAGGCATATGATGTTTTTAATCATCTATATGTATGTCTTCATCCTCTGCACACTCCCCTACCACAACAGACAGACACGGGCAGAAACACAAATTAACTTCTCCTTTTAGAGGTAAATACTGAGATTGATCTGTTTTCACATGTCCAGCACTACAATACACTTTTTTTCCAACCAAATGCTTTCTAACATTGCACTGCTGTTGATCTACCTCTAGAGACTTCTAAGTAAAAAGAGCAGCTACACAAAATGAAAGTAAAATAGCCCTCCAATAAATAATACACCCACCCAATAAATAATACACCCATCCAATGCATTCACAATCCTATCTTGCTCTATAGAACAAGCACAATTTCAGGCACACAACAAACTTGGTTTACAAACTTGGGAGGGATTTGACTAAAGCACAGAGGTGGAAGTACTCAGTCCCAAAAAAGGGCCCTTCACGAGGACTGCCCTGCCACTGACCTAAGGCACTTGCCAGGCTTGATGAAACCATCAGCCTTTTCAGAAGTAAAGCCAAAATCCATAATGCACTGCAAGATGCACCAGGGAAAAGCATGCAAACATCAAAAAATGCATGTGAGAAACACACATAAGGCTACACGTACGCAAAAAGCAACTGTATCACAACTTCAATTTGCACTTCTCATCCCATTCCCTCACACTTGAAACAAAGGAGAAAACTCTGGGTTTAAAGTGTTATATTGGACAATAGTTGCACTAAAAAAGGTAACTCCAAACTAGATCTAGTCACAACACAATAAATAAAAATATAATTACATTTTCAGAAAAGTTAAGTCTTTACAGTAGACAGACAGAGCAGCTTTTTGGCTTGGGGCTTTTGAAAGCCTAAACTCAGCCCAACACAGCCTCACAAGGCACATCTTATTTTCTAAATACATTAAATGTTTATTTACAAAGTGATACCACACACACACTTTAAAAAAAAAAAAAGTAACAACTTCATTTCTCCATACTTTTTTTTCCTGGAATAAGCAATACTGAAAATTCCAGTTGTTCTTATTACATTTCCTAAATAGCAGCTTATCCTTCAGACTTGCACACAGCATCAAATCATACTGTTCTCTTCTACTTTTCTTTCCTGAAACATTTTTATTACCAAATGAACAACAACAACAACAACACTGACTTATCTGTTTTTGCAATTCAGGCATGTATGTTCACAGAAGGCAACAGACTGCATTAAAACACTACCAAAACAAGCCATTTCACTATATGTGACTCTGTCCCCAGGGAAAGGAATGAGAGCAGATAAGATGTGACAGATGTGTAGTCACGTCACTTAATACACTACTGGAAGGTGCTCAAATCATTATGGTGACAGGCAGAGTATAAAAACTTGCAAAGAATGGACCAAGCAGTTATCCAGTTTTCTGCAGACATGATTCTTGTAATCAGAGAAGATACTGAGGTCTGTGAAGTGCTGTTTGAGATAAGGTAGCCTGCCAATGTCAATATGCAACAGAGTCATAAAAAAAAAATAGAAGGGTGCACAGCATATATGTTTTTGTCAGCAAAACCCCTCCATCATGAATATGAAATACATCTGATGAATATGAATTCAAGGCCTGTCCTCTAAAAATTTCCTGTACTGAAACACTTCTGAAGAGGTTTAATTAAACTCGAAATTTACCCAAACCAGGAAGCTTAAGCTTAGCGACTGTAGTTGTCCAAACTAAGTTTCGTTTTACAGTTATTTTGCTGAAGTCTCTTCTCTATTTTGGTTTAAAAGACAGAACAGTAAGGATAAAACTGGAAATCATATGATTACTGGACAGAATAGGACTGATTACTTGTTTGAAGGCAAGTATAAACCTAAGAGTTATAAAAAAAAATCAGGACTTTCATGCAATTGGCCAAGTAAAGTATGAAAAATGCAGGATAAAACAGTTTCCTCACTTATTCCAGGTTTACTAATCCTGACTATAACAAATATTAATGTAGGTCAAGAATATTTCCAAACAGCAGCATGATTTTAGCTGCTAGTGTCCCTTCAGTAGGTACCAATACCACTGCTGTTGTTTCACATAGACGGTTAGACCCAAATCCCACAAATTAATCCACACAGGTAGATCCCTGCGCCTCTGGGAATCCGCATTAAGGCAAAGAGGGAAAACTAACTCACAGGATCAGATTCTTAATTTGAAGCTGGACCACTGTAACTCATTATGACACTAATCATAAATATCTCACCAACACCCTCTGCTCCCCATCTGTTTGTTTTATCTTATTATAGTTTTATATCTCAATCCACGGGACTGGCTGCAGCAGTCGAATTAAACACCTGCATGCACCCGTGTTTCTGCAGGGCCAGGTCCTCAGACACACGCTGAGTTTTCCCTGTGCTCGTGCCCATGCCTTGTTTGCTCCCTGAATGGGACAACAAAATAGAATTACATAATTATAACATCAATTTCTTCATTTATACAAACACCGATATTGATGTTTTCAAATAATCCTGTCCTTTAAGCCAAAGGATAAGCTCCCATCAACTTCTGAGGTGCAGCAACTGGTATGAAGTAACCTGCATATCAAAAACTACCTGGAGAAGTGTGACACTGAGCTTTAAAATTATTTTTAAGAAGCACTTGCTTCTTTATTGTACTGTCACAAAACAACAAGAAAATTTCATAGAATCATGGAATATCCTGAGCTGGAAGGAACCCACGAGGATCTTCAAAGTCCAACTCCTGGCCCTGCACAGGACCACCCAAAGAATCACAAACAATATTCATTCCAGCCTACTAAATCAAATCCACTGGCACCAACCAACCCTAAATTGAGGAATACTGAATCCAAGCCAGTCACCATCAGGCCCAGTGCAGGAGGTTGGATGGACCTTTCCTTTGACCCAGGATGGTGTTTTGTGCATTCTTACAGAGAGCCCATAGGAAGAAGCCCACAATATTTCAAGGATAACTCCACTAGAATTAATCCTAGAATCCTACTTTTAATTAAACTAAAAAACACACATTAAGGTATAAGTGTTTTTGTGGGTGTTGGTTTCAGGTTTGGTTTTATTTTGCAACTTCTATCTTCTTTTGAAGAAGTGGGGTTAAGAACTAAACCAAAGTGCAGTCACACATTTATTACATATTTCAATACTCTGATTAACAAATTTGTCAAACAGGTAGATGAGGGAATGTGGGAAATATACTTGCCCACAAAACAAAAAAAAGGCAAAGACATAATATTAAACCTATTAAACGTGTTATTTTCCAGAATTATCAGCACCAACCATGCTTATTTTCACTACTTATAGCAGAAATGAAGAATAGCTATTATAAAAAAAAATCCACAGAAGTAAATAAACTGCTTGAGAATTCAATGTTGAAGACTTCTGAAAGGGTATTTCCCCTTCCTCACCAGACAGACATTAATTCTGATTTTGGCCCCTGGATTTGTACTGAAATTCGGTGACAGCTCGGATTTAGGGGAAGCATTCAAGATATCACAGAGATACTGGCATTCTTTTAAGAGTAGTATGCTGGATCATAATTTTCTTTCTCAAATCAGAGGTTAAATCTGCCAGCAGAAATTCACCTCCAGCTGGGATATGCAGGATCTCAAAACAGTAGTGTCTTGCCTAAGACCAGACTGGCAGCATCTTTCCCCTTGAGAGGCTGCAGCTCATGGGGCCTTTCGATGTCAAAACCCAGCAGAAGCCAGGAGCTGGGAGCTATCCATCCACAAGTGGTATGAGAGGGGGTCCCACCTCCTGACTTGCTGTAGGACAATCAAAATACCCCTGTGGGCTGCAGTTGGCACCACTGTCACAGGTTACAGATCCACACGTCAAAGAAAGATGCTTAAAACCAGTTTCTTTCTGCTCACAAGTCCATTTACCCTTTCCAAAATTACCTCTCATTAGTGTCAACTGCTGAGGATTCACAAACTAAAACACTCACACACAGCCTGAGTGCCTTGACAATTCAAGTCATGGTACAAGTTAACATCAGCATTTAAAACTTTCAAAAGTATTGCAAACAATTACCACGTCCTCAACTCACAGATAAAATATTCTGTAAAGCTTAAATACATATATTTCTGGCATGAAACATTTCTCAATGCTGGCAAAACCTCCCTGCAATTTTTTACAATAGAATACTTTGAGTTCAGAAGCTGGCTGTAGGGTAAAATTGCTTTATTTATTAAAACCCATATGTGGTCTTACCTTTTAGCAGAGGCAGGGGAGTTAACTCGATAGGCTTGCCCTGAGACCTAAACTGGGAGGAGCTTTGTGACCTCTTCTGTCTGGCTTTTCTGACGGACTTCCGAGAAAATCCGTCTACTTTATCCACTGATGGAGGAGTAGTTGGTGCTGAGGACATATCCCTACTGAAGGAAAACAAAGGTTACAAATATATTCCAAATGAGTGAAATGGGTAAAGATTAGCCTGAACTTCCCAAATATCTTCTTTCTGCACCACTCTCCTGTTGACAACTCACCCACAGAAACTGTTAAGAGATTTAACCCACCGATACATTTACACATTGTATGGAATAAACTTAATGGAGCTTAACCGTTAATGTAGTAATTCCTCTTGCTCACTTTTTTATCTGTGTCTCCCATTTGCCAAAAATCCTGCAACAGGAAAAATTCAGACCTAATGCTGACATCATTATGTCAACAGAATTCACACACCTGTAGACTTGACATAGGATTGTAGCTTTAAACTACGTATTCTTTGGGATGAAGTAATTTCAACTCACTCTGCAAGGGACCATGTATGCTAAAGAATGGGTACACAAAAAGGTACAGATGTTTTTTTGGCATTCAAGTCACCAATATGCATGATCAAAAAAAAAAAATAGGACAGCAGAAAAATTCCATTTGCTTGCCATACCTGCCTATCAGATTTTATAGAAATGTAAGAAAGTATAGCAGAAAGTACTGCTATGCTTCACAATTTCACTAGCACTGACAAATCCTGCATAATGCTTCTTCACTCTCCATTTTAGAAACGGAGTTATTTTCCTGTGAGTCTCTTTACACGTAGTTATTCCACGTTCTGGCATTTCTGTAGGACCAGCAGTGTGGTAGCTGTAACTGTTCTAAGGGCACAAGCCAGACAAGGTTTGCAGGGAGAGGCAGAGAGCCAAAAAAGGCTTCTGCAAGCAAAAGTTTGTTTGTTTCCCAACTTCAGCTGGTGTAAGCAATAAGCACTGCATCTTCCTATAAAACCTGCCTTGGTAGTACTCCTGTGGCTGATTCCAAACTACTAGGAAACATTTAAACAGCGAATTAATGCATTCACCTATTGTATTTACCAGCCTTGTCCTGTGTGTTATAAAGGCTCATCAGATCTTGATGAAATACGTGAGTAATACTCAACAGAAAGGAGACAGGAGGAATTCAGGCCTACATGTTTCAAGCAGCTCTGTGCACAGTTAACTTCACCAGCGTGTGCAGCTCCCCTGAAATCAGCAGCCCCATCTGCATTAATGACACGATCATCAGCGAGAGCAGCTCCGTTGATTTCAGCCAGGCCACACACTCGTGCAAAGTTAAGCATCGGCGTAAGCATTTGCAGGATCAGGGTCTTAGAACGTGTCCTTGGAAAGCATTACTCATCCTCAATGTCTGTTGACTTCAATTACCAAAGTGACTCCTTTGCTGCAAGAAGTTGATTCCACGACATAAAGAACACTTTCGAGTACTTATTTTTATTAAAATATTTGATTACTCATAGGCTTCATAAATTACTAAATCCCCTGAAATAGACATTATTTGGATTTGTCTTTTGTAAGAAAAGCTTTCGAAAGCATGATTTGTTGCAACAGTGTAAACAAGCTCCGAAAGATAAGAACTGTTTAATGCAGAATCACATATAGGTGCACTAAATCTATCAAAAATGGGAGTATAAACTCCATAGCTTCTTCGAGGAAGCATGTGCAGCACTCAGAAGGTGAACTGTGCAGCTGGCATTACAATAATGAAAAAAATCTCATTCCATCTTTTTGATTTCTCCTGAGGTATTCTCTCACTACCAGCTTAGGCTTTCTAAATATAATATACTATCAGCAACATGAACCCGTACCTTAAACTGGTCTTGTTTATCATCTGGGCGGAAAAAAAAAATGCCACCATCACCAGGGCATTCAGGCCCCAGCCAAGATTAATAAATAAAAAAGTCAGATAAACTGAAATAGAATGGCCTGTACTTTAGTAACCCACTTCTAAGATTTCAACAGTCCGCCAAAAAACACACAAACACGAAGTTACCTGTTACATAAACCAAATTCTGGAAATATCAGCAAAAAATATATTCCCTAAACCTGAATCGGTTTGGCCCTATTTCATCTCATCAGAAAGCTTCCCCTCCTCATCACGTGCATCATTAAAGTGTAACCATCCCTGCAGAAATGTTTGCACGCTCCCTCCAAATTAAATTACCAAAAAAAAAAAAAAAGAAATAATAATAATGGACAGGGACTAAAGTAGATCACTTAAACTGCAGGATCATTGTGTCAGCAAGGAGCTTTACTGACACTTCCCCGCTGTAAATTTAGTAACAGTTTCCCTAACCTGCTTTATAAATTATTAAAATCTAATTCTAATTCAACAAGACTCCATCCAGCCTAACAACGTTACAGTAAACACTGATCTTTCTTTTCGTCTCCCCAAATGAACATTCGCTGCCCTGCATACACTATCACAGGGAAATACTCTGTTTCCACCAAGAGTCGAGGGGGGGGAGGGAGGAGGGGGGGAATAAAGCTCGAGATTATTTATTGTGTGCGAGGGGGAAAAGCTGCAAACCCGGCCACCCGCTCCCCGCTTCCCCCGCTTTATTCCCCGAGTATTTTGGTAAATACGAAGCCACGCTCATCAGATCCCTCAGTCCCGGGGAGGGGGGGGGGCGGTGGAAGACGCGAAAATACCGACGGATATCGGCGGGGAAAAGGGAGCAGAGGCGCAATTATCCGCTCCCGGCTGTCATTTCCAGACGGGATCTCCGCAGCTGGAACATGTCCTCCCGCAGCCCTCCTCCCGCACCGCCGGGCCGGCCATGGAGTTACCTTGACGCTCCTGGGTAGAGAAGCCGGAGACGGAGGGAGGCGGCGGCGGCCTTGGCGGAGCGCGGCCGATGCCTGGCGGCGGCGGCGGCGGCCCGAGTGCGGTTCTCGCCGGGCTCGGTCGCTGCCGCGGCGGCGCAGGAGCCCTGTAGGCCTCGGCCTCGGCGGCGGCGGGGCCTCCCCGGCGCAGGGCGGCGTCGGCGGCGGGTTCAGGCGCGGGCGGCTCCGCTCAGTCCCGTGCACTCCCCGCTGCCTGCGGTGCCGCTGCCTCTTCACATTCCCGGAGAAGGGCCCTGCGAGGCGGGGTGGTGTGAGGGGGGAGGGAGCCGCCGAGCACAGCCGAGCCGAGCCGAGGGGGAGCGGCGGGCGCGGAGAGGGGGGGGGGGGCAGTGCCGGGCAGGGCGGGGAGCGCGGGTTCCGCCGGCGGCGCTGGCGCGGGGGGAGAAGAGCGAGTGGAGGGTCCCGGTGGGCGTCGGGGTCGCGGTCCTATTGTGGCTCTCAGCGGGCTCCGGCCATGGCACTCGCTCGCACACACTCGCTCTCTCACAACCGAGCGCGCTGCTGCCACCGCCCCCCGCCCGCGGACCGCCCCCGACCGCCCACCGGAGCCGCCGCCGGGACGCGCCGCCTCAGTGGCGCCCGGAGCCGCCTTGGCCGCCGGGACCGCCGGGAAAGGGCCGCCCCCTCCCCCGGCAGCGGCGCGGCCCCGCCGCTCCCGCAGCCCTGCGGATCCGCCGCATCCCGCGGGTCCCTCGCATCCTTCGCCCGGGGGAGCGGCGGGGCCCCCTCGGCTGAGCGGTAAAACCTGGCGCTGCTGAGGGAAAACCCCGCTAAGGCTGAGGTAAAGCCCCCCGTCGGAGCCCCTCGCGGGGGGCTGAGCCCCTTCCCGGGGAGGGCAGCGGGCGAGGGGCCGCGCCGGGTCCGGCCGGAGGGACCTGCTGCGGGCACGGCCGCAATTCCCTCTTTGTCCGCAGTGGGAAGCAGCGGCTGCACCCTCCCTCTCCTCTCTGCACCCTTGGGTTTCTTAGCCCAGTGTGTGATCGCTGTCTGCACCACCCTTTTTTATTTCCCCCCCCCCCCCTTTAACTGTATTTTTATATACTTGGAACCGGAAACCAGCAGAAGGACTGCTTGTAGATAGTATGGTTAAATGTCATAAATTTTTGTTTAAACTTATGTACCTGATGGCTTTGGTGTTTGATGGTTTTGTTTTGGGTCCCGGTTGGTTGGTTTGTTTTCCCCAAAATACAGAAAACGGCTATAGGGCAATGGAGCTGGTGAAGGGACTGGAGAACATGTCTTTGAGGAACGGCTGAGGGAGCTGGGGTTGTTAAGCCTGGAGAAAAGAAGGCTCAGGGGAACCTTATTGCTCTCTACAACTCCTTGAAAGGAGGATGTAGCCAGGTGAGAGTTGACAGGTAACAAGTGACAGGACAAGAGGACACAGTCTTAAGCTGCACCAGGTGAGGTTTAGGTTGGACATTAGGAAGCATTTCTTCACAGAAGGGGTGATTAGACATTGGAATGGGCTGCCCAAGGCGGTGGTGGAGTCACAGTCCCTGGAGGTGTTTAAGGAAAGACTGGACCTGGCACTCAGGGCCATAGTCTGGTTAACACGGTGGTGTTGGGTCAGAGGTTGGACTCGATGATCTCAGAGGTTCTTTTCCAGTGTAATTGATTCTGTGATTCTGTAATGGTGTTAATATGGCTATTACATTTGAAAATACTCTCAACTGTTTCTCCTGTATTTCTGGCAGAAAAAAAAGGTGACTTATATGAGCAGCAGCCCTCCTGCATTGATATCACCAAATCCCTCTGAGGTACAGTCTTTTTTTTTTTAGGAAATGAGCTCAAGGGCAGTTTGAGAGCTGGTTGCTTTGGTGGATCAGTCACATCCCTCCTTTTAGTGCAGGTACAGAACCCTCTCAACATTACTAATCCTGCAAAGGATACCTAGTTGTTGTCCCACTCAGCTTCTTGACTCAGCTTTTGGCATAACGGAGGGCGTGGGACTGTGTCAGACTCGATTTAAAGTGATGTAAGCTGTTGTCAAACTACTTTCAAAATTGCTAATTTTCAGGCAGCTAAGTTCCCTGGTCCAGTTCACGTTGAGGAACCTGGAACACTAGTTAAAAGCTCATGGCCACTGAAGTATAACTAATGGATGTGAGCAGTTTTACCTCCCATCTCTCAAAATGCCTCTTCATATGTTAAAAAATAGGCCTCCCCTAAATTTTTTTACCCATAGACAAAGTGTTTTCAGTTCATTTCAATCCTTCCTTGTGTGACACAGTTTTAAAACTCTTAAGGTGCTTATTTCTTGGCTCTGTGTCGTCTCAAAATCATTCACATCTTTTTTTGAACTGTAGCACCCAAGACTGGACACTGCTACAATTGAGGCCTCAACAATGCCAGCATCTGCTGTCCTGCCTGTCACAGACCACATTCCTGTGTACATGTGCCAATACAAATACTTTGGAGTCAGACTGATCTATCCACAATCTTGCTGACCTGTCTTACCCCCGCATCCATTTCTGCTGACCTACCAAGCCAGTTATTTCTCCCTCAAGTAGACAGTAATGCTACTTGAGAAATTACTTCCTGCAGCAGCCCTAATGCTATGCCCTCATTTTTATTGCTGGATAATCAAGCAGTCAAAACACATTTTGAAATAAAATTCCACATGATGTTAAGTCAGAAAACTGTAGAATTTGTCATCCTTTGTAAATTGACTGCATTTCTCGCTAGAATTGTATTTGAAAAAGCAAAACTTAGATTGAACTGTGCCATGGTTACAGAAAGGTTGTGTAACTAAATTTAGAAGAGAGATTTGTACATATTTGTAAATATTTCAAACTTTAAATTCACTTAAACTAAAGCAGCTAAAATAATGTAACTGTAAGCAAGGATTGATAACAAAGAATGTAGGTCAAGGAGAGGGTGGTGTTATACCACTATAAGGTAAAATATGATAGAAACAGTGTAGCTTCCCATCAGTGAGGGACAGAACCTGCAGACGAACATGTTTTGCTGTTATATGTACTTAATTCTGTTAGTTGTGTTTGTCAGTGACATACTTTCATTCTCAGTTTTGTTCACTGTCCTGTGTGCTGCTTTTGATCTGAACAGTGCAATGAGCAGCTCAGAAAGTTATTGCCAGCATACTCTGCAGAAGGGAAGTTCTAGCACAGCCTGACAGCTACACTGGCACTTTAGGTGCAGTTGAGCAAGTCATTTTACATGATTGTACTTCAGTCTTCCCAGTGTGAGATGAAATCCATCTTTGTAAAACACTAAAAATCTAAAATTGAAGCCTGTGATGTGGGTATCTATTAAAATAAGTGCCATAGAAGGGATAAAAACCAACACTGCTGTCCAAGTCCTGTGCACACAGAGGTTTTTACTCCTCATTCTGCCTTTGTATAACAGCTATCGAATTAGTTCTTCAGTACAGCTGAACAAGCTGGTAAATAATGCATTCAGCTAGTTTATTTCTTAGATGGTCATCATGTGGTATGTTTGGTCCATTTTGACTGTGTAAAGCATTTTTATGATGTGTTTTATATCAGGTATGGTAACAATTCAAGACAAATACAGGCTTTATCAGTGAATAAACAGAAATCTTACCTTTTCTGTTTCGCTTGGCCATCAGATTTTGCGGAGTAGGCTTCCCACTTATTTCCAGATCGCTTTCTTTTTCCTCCTTTAATATGTGAAGTCCTCATCTGTGAGGAGATTTAAGAGCATGATATAAGATATGAATGTAAAACTGCTGATATTTTGAAGGGGCACTTGTCCTTCTCCTATTCTCTGTTTAGTCTGCATTTTGTAAAAATTGTTACTTTAAAAAAAATGGATAAGTGAATTCCAAGCAGAGATGGAGAAGAACTAAGTACTACAGGTGTTTTACATAGATGTGTATCTGTATATGTTTATATATGTGTTTGTATAAATACCAATTTGCAAGAATAAAAATTGACTTTCATCAGATAAAGTTCACATGACCAACATCTCCCGTACAAGTGTGTGGGCATATATATGAAAATATAGGCACAGTCAGTACCTGCAGCCCTTCCTGGAGATTTACAAGCAATAATAAGTTCTTTTGATCAGTGTTTCTCCACTGCTGTCAAAGGTACAAGACAAGCCTATCTTTTTTATAAGTGGCACTGCCTTACTCCCCTACAAAAGGGCTTTTTAAAAAATAGCAGGAGAGGAATTTTCAGGGCTAGCTCCTTGCCAGTTTGGCACTGTGCTTTTTAGCACCCAGTCAGAACAGCAGTCAAGAGTCCTCCAAAACAGAGATTTTTGTACCAGTGACTCAGATTTGTGCCACTTCACGTTTTTTTTGTGTGGTTGAAGTTCCACTATGGACCATCTGTTGTGGCCACCCAGGCAGGAGTATGGAGCTCTCATCCACATTGGCATTCTGCTCTCTACATAGCAGCTTATCAAACGGGATTGCTACGGAGATACCCCTGTGGAAGTCGTGCTCCGTTGAATGATAAACATAAATGGACTTAGCTGGAGCTTGTAAATGTCTCACATGGCACATCTAACATGTATTTGTCTACAGGAGGGGTCACATAATGCTCCATAAAGGATCTCCAATATGTCAAAAGGAGCATTATCGGGGGTACCATGGGATTAGTTCAGATATTCCCTGTTCCAATACTAGTAAGCAAGAAAAGACTTGCTCTCCCCAGAGAACTAATTATTCAGACCGGCAGGAAAAAGACCAGAAAGAGAAAGCATTATGGAGGAAGCAGCAGAGCTGTTTGAAGAGGCAAATCAGCATGTGAACAAGGCTTTTCTGATACATCTTTTAACAAAAATGAACACAGTGGAACACCACATCAAAGTAACTGTCCTGCTCCATCAGCATGATTGAAACGGCACAATCTGTGATTTTTTTTTGTTTACTTTTGAATGAAATTCGCACGTAACAAGAAAGCGTTTCTACTTAGTCTGTTTACCCTGCACTTGACTCCTGATTCATACGTTCTACATTTTGGGGAGGAGTGGCATGTCCGGCTTCTGGGCGACGTTTGTAATCACTGTACCAAGTTTCTGCCATAATAACCAAGTGCTTGTTCCTCCTCCTTGCCTCCCGCTCCTCCTCGTATCAGCTCTGTGATAACACTGTCAGTGCCCTCAGGAACTGAATTCCTGGTTGGGGGGGTGTGGGTAAGCGTTTTAGGGTCATAGACACAACTACCAGAATGGGAACTAATTCTTCCTCTCTGTTTATAGACACTGCGTCATTTGAAGTCTGTTTCTCTAGTCAACATGGCAAGATAAGTAGGAGCTTGCTCTCCTCGGCAGCTGGAGAGCTGCCTCCTCCCAGCACCACACTGCTCTCACTGATTCCCAATTCACAGTTTTGTTCCTACTTTGCTCCCCTCCCCCAGTGTCTTAACTTGCCTTCAAGGCCCCAGGCACTCCTTTAAGCCAGGTTTTCTGAATTTTCTGTTCGATTTCCTTTGCTGCCTGTTTACCTCTGCCTTCCTCAGGCTTTGCAGTGCTCTCCTCGGCCAACCTGCCCTCCCCAACTGTCCCTGCCCTCCCCAA